TTGCCGAGATACCGGGCGCTCATATTATAAGGCAAGGTTATAAAACCATCTTTTAAGATCATTTTAGTGAAAGTTTCATGTTCCTATCTCATAGAATTTAAGAACAATGATGAATAAATCATTTTCGAGCAAAATTTAAATGGCCGGCTGAACATATTACCGCCGGAGAGACGGCCGTGGAATTTAAATGACCGCGCAAAAGGGTTAAATTAATGTATTTATGTATTTTCCTTATTAGCAGTGCTATGCTTATGCAATTAACACATGTTTCAGTGTATGAGAACTCGCTGGAGAGTGACTTGAAGGGTGATACATCTGGACACTTCAAGAGGTTGCTTGTGTCTCTTCTCACTGTAAGTTTTACAATTCATATGTAACAGGAAATTATGTGAAATGAAGAGAGACAACTTCTTAATTCCTCAAAAAGAGGTGGACTATGAGGGGAGCAGGATACTTGATGCAAAAATGTGATTTTTGTCTAAAAGAAAACTCGCAGTAGACTGCAGATGTGGAGAATCTAAATGACATCTGTAGATCTTTCCTGAGTAATTAACAGGTGTGATTCTTTAATTGGTTATCTCCTTTTGTGATTATCTTTTAAGGTTCATGACGTTGTGTCATTCATTAATGATACTCGGGATGAAACTTTAGCATAAACGTCATCAACATCTGCAAACGTAATTGTATTCAGTCACATTTCATTCTGATTTTATGCCAAACTTGAAGAAGCTGTGTTGATTGGCTGTTGTCTTGATTGATTAATTGGAAAACACGTTGATTTCTTTTCAAGTTTCAAACTTAAAATGATGTAATCACTCAGTATATTGGTTACTGTTTTCTTCATCCCTCTCCCTCTCTGTGAATTAGGCTAAACTTTGGTTTCTTATTTCCATCCATCTTGGGGTAGCCAGTGGAAATGTATCCACTATCCTGATATTTCGTTACTTGCTTTGGCTTTCTTTTGACTGACATTCTTTTTTATGTATTTTTCAGTTCTGTGTATAGTGTATTACCCTTTACATTATTGATTCCACTCTTAGTGCTTTTGTATTGTCTTCATTTTTGAGATGGTCTTGTACATCTTTTGACCACTTTCAGAAAATGTATTTCTGCTCCCTGTAATCTGCTTTCATGCCTGCTCATCATTGTCCATTCTTCACTGCCATACAGCAAGACAGGTATATTCAAAACAGAGTAGAATCTTATCTACATGGCTTGTCCTCTATCTCCTTGTTCTACAGGTTGCTTTACAAATAGCTGGACATTCCCCCCCCCCCAAGTTTATATCCTTATTCATTTAATATTGTGACATAATGGATGGAAGATGGGATGGCAGGGCCAGGGGAAGAGACCGTTGCTTGTTAATGGTCAATAAGCACACTCCCACGTCATCAAAGAAGTGGGCCATTGCTAGGCAGTGCCATGTTTTCTACATGGTATGTACTGAGGCTTTATAGTAATGGCCATCAGGAAAACTCAGTCCATCTTGAGTTGGCGATTGGTGATTGCAGTTCTTGAACTGTAAGTGAACAGTGTCAGTTCATTGCTGGCCGTGAGGACCTTCCATGGTTAGCAGCCATGACCTAGCAATGTCCACTTAAGGCAAATTGAGCAATGGCTAATGAAGACTATAACATACTAAGATTAGCGTGAACTGTAGTGGTTTGTTAAGTGTGTAGATTAATTGTAGTGTTATAATCCTTTGTAGTTACCCATTATAAGCATTTAATAAATCCAAGTGTCAGTTGAAAGCCCATGTCTTAGTCACTAACATGTTACAGCGTGTTACTGTTTCCGTGATAAAAATCTATTTTGCCTGACTGATTAATTGATTAATGAGACCTTAGTTGTTTGCAAATATTACATAGTTACAAGCCCTTTGATTTTGACAGGATTTTTGCGTGGTTGCTTGGATGGCTGTCTCCAATGGCATGTTTAATGTAGCACTGAATGCAGTAGTAAATAAGACCTGAGAGATGTAGGATATGGGAGTGCGGACTGGATTCATCTGACTTGTGCAGGTTCACGTGGAAGGCTCTTGTGAACACTATAAAGGACCTTTGGGTTACATAAAAGGCAGGGTATTTCTTGGCCTGCTGAGTGATTGTCAGCCTCTCAAGGAGAACCCTGTTGCATGCAGTCAGTTATTTTAAAGATATGTTTATGTATGGTCACTCATCAAAAAAGACAATACTCTTAAAATGATCAGTCTTGAGAGTTATATGTCTATTCCAAATGCCTTACCAGCAGTGGAAATGAAAAATATTAAGGGACCCAAATTATATCACATGATTAGTTATGTAATGTTAAAACTTTCTCCTCTGGATAAATCACAGAATGAATTATAATGCATTTTTGAAGACGTACAAGACAGTTTAAGAGCTGGGATAGCGTAGTCGTTATAGCGATTAGCTGCGGGTTGGACAACTGAGGGTCAGATTTCAAGTCCTGGTAGGATCAAGAATTTTCTCTTTTTCACGTCATCCAGACTGGCTCTGAGGTCCACCCAACCTCGTATGCAGTGGGTACAGGGGGTAAAGCAGCGGAGCGTGAAGCTGATCACTCACCATCTAGTGCCGAGGTCAAGAAAATGTGGAACTATACATCCACCCCTTCATATGCCTTTGTGACATAGTGCTTAATTAGTTAAGCTCAGAGACAATTTTATGTTTTACCGTACAGGACAGTTTAGTTTTCAGCAAAGTATGTATAAATTTATGTGGAAGAACACACACATGTATTTAAATTAGCATAGCCTTATGTTAAAATCTTAAAAATTTCAGTAATATGAGAAAAATAAATAAATATTGTGGTTCTATCCTAAATGTTCAGGATTAAGATTATTTAAAATAATTACTGTGACATATTCTATTAATTTCAGGCTAATAGAGATGAAAGCCCTGATGTTGATGCTAGTGCAGCAGTGGCTGATGCTGAATCTCTTCTGGAAGCAGGTGAGTGGTGATATATGTGCTCAATTTAGATCACTAATTATGTCAGTCATGCTTCTCTGCTGACATACAGTGCAACCTTGATGTAGTTCATGAACTTATTCCTTTCAGGTGAAATGCAGTGGGGGACGGATGAATCTGCTTTCAATGCCATATTGGTTTCCCGCAGTTATGTTCAGTTGCGTCGTGTGTTCCGCGAGTATGAGAAACTTGCAGGTCATGACATTGAAACTGCAATTAAACGTGAATTTGCAGGCAGTTTGGAAGATGGATACTTGTCCATAGGTAAAGTATTTACAGGATGTCAGAGGAAGTTGTTTACTGCTCTTTATAAAGGGCAGATATTTTGTCTTAGTGTCGTGCAGGCTTGCATCGTATTTAATAGGCATGTGTGAGAATGACTTATTCACATCAAGACAAGAATTCGGAAATTTTTTGAAAATTGAAACTAAAATGAGGTGTTTTTCCAGTAAACCATTTTGTTTCACTGTAATAATTTATGACACTGGACACCTTTCCAAAGTGCACTGAAGTGTAGTACCATATTTACTTGAATGGAAGATGATTCAGAATGAGAGATGACCCTGCACTAGGTAGCAGACTTGCACAGCAAAGTAATTTTATGAATTAATTTCATATTTTTACTATAAACATGTGAAAAGGTAAATATTAGAACACATTATACATACACATATTTTACTTAATTTTCTTTGTGAAGTCATTAGCCTGTATTCAGATTCACAAGTTTCCACAATTTTTATTGCCTGTCTCAGTTTCAGTGTCTTCCTAATTCCCATCTTCTCTCACATACCCTGCTCACACACTCACATTCACTGCCAATATTCCCACCTTCCTCATTCTCCCATCCATTTCAACAGATATACAACACTTTAAATCCTCTTGATCATCACTTCTGGCAAGACCTCTTGCCCTTGTCTTTAACCACCAGCAGAGTGGATTTACACTGGGCTTCATTATTGTCTCCATGGTGACTGAACATAGCATCTATGAAAAGCTGCTCAGAAAACAGTTCTTTCAAATTAATTCAGTAGAATGTGTAGTTATGAAGTCATCCCTCCAGGTATGACCACAAGGTCATTACTCATTTTATGAGTCATAGGTCTGGCATCTAGTGTTAAATGACCTTCAAATGCAACTACACCTTAGGTATAGTTCTGGGAACATGGTGGTAATTTTATGCTATCTTCTAACATAGTCACCTGCAGCTTCTTATTGCCTGATGTTTTTATGGCAATGGATTTTGCATATGTATCATCTGGTGTAACTGGATAGCATTTCTATTTCATCAGCAGTGCTTCAAACTGTGATGGAAGCCTCTTGCAAAGTGATGACCTATGCTATAAAGAAAGGTTGTTTCTCTGCATCATGTGTACACACAATCTTGAAATGAACTTAAAATTTCAGCCTCTTGTTGCGTAATGATGTTGCATGAGATGGACATTCCATTTTGTCTTTGAATCCATACAAATACAGTTTTCATATAGAATTCTCAAGTTCTTCTGTCAGTTACTTCCTCCTTCAGACATTTGCCTTGGGAGATTCTGTATTTTCTTCCCTTGTCACATCCCCCCACAATGTTTGTGTGTTTATTGCTGTATGCTTGAGATACAAACCATAACTGCACCACCAGGTATGTTTTGTCACATTCCTTTTTGCACTGATGCTTCATTTCTGAATACTTGGCTTACCATTTTTATGTTGAGCAAGACTTACGTTAGCAGTTTTGACAAGTTTTTCGATGTCAGATATGTCTCGACCACCAGTGGTCAGAAGACAAGTTCTGATGACCCTAGCAGCAAGCACATGGCAGCATCAGTAGCAACTGAGGAAAGAGAAAAGATGGAGGGAATGCATTTGCTTCTGGTGTGTCCAGTTTGCACAAATACATCAGTGGGTTTGTCAGTGTTAGATTGCTGTAAGTTCAACTGATATGAACATGAGAATTGTTAGCGCTGTGGATGAGGTTAAAGATTTTATTTCAACAGTGCACAAGAATGCTCTGGAACTAAGGTCAGTTGAGTTGTATTTCAAGAAATAATAAGTAAGATTAGAGTTTTAAGAAATGTGAGTTGTTATTTGCAGGCTTGCATTTTTATGTAAATTGTCTCTAAATTTTGTAGTATGTGTTTAAATGGAAAAACATGTAAGCAAAAGATAAAGGAGCTCTATATCAATGAAATATAAGGACCATCGCTTACAACATAACATAGGGACTTAACTGCCTACCTAACAGGTAAGTCCTACTTGGAAAAAGAATTGTGAAATTCAAAATTTTGCAATTTGAAACCTGATTTTTCTGTCCCAAATATTTTGAAATATGTGATGTTCTACTGTATAATGTGGATGAAGAAATTCTGTTCTTTGTGGAGATGAGATGGAGTAGTGGTCATTTCTTTTGCAACTGTAGAGAGCATACTGCATTGTCAGTATGGAATTCAGTAAACATCTACCTTTGGAATCACACGGTGTGTTTGCATCAGGTTTTGTAGCTCTGCTTTATGATTTTTAGTCCTTTCATTGTTGTACAATCCTTCATAGTTTTGGGAAGAATGAGGTTCCATCCAAAGTATAATTGTCCCTCTTCAGTTAAGCACCATGACAAGGCTGTGTGTAAGGGAGTGTAGGTATAGCACCATGCATTCTTGACCTTGGTTCAAGATGGAGGTGAGTGGTCAGCTTCATGCCAGGCTGCTTTATTCCCTTTGACGGAGCTCCTGGTACCCTCTGTAGGATATAGGAGACCGATTGGACCTCAGAGTTCATTTCAGTGCACTGGAGAGGAAAAAATGTCTGCCCCTAGTAGGAACCAGACCCTGATTCTGCAGTTGTCCAGCACATATCCTGTACACTATATAAACCGAGCTATATCCAAAGTGTTACACTGAACAAAACTGTTGGGATAGTCTTCCTTTTCTGCCCTTTCTAATCCAGTGTGCATAATCATCTCATCTCATATTAGGCAACATAATATTTATACTTCAACACAATACTGCTCTTTACCCTCTACCTCATTTAATTTCTTGAGATTGAATCTCACCATATGAACTCTGTGTGTTGTTTGCTCACTGCCAGTCTTTCCCTAACCTTTGCCACTGCCAGGTAGTGGTTAGTATCACAGAAGGAAAGAGACCACTGGGAAGACCAAGGCATAGGTGGGTGGACAATATTAAAATGGATCTTATAGAGATAGGGTGGGATGGTATGGATTGGATTGATCTGGCTCAGGATAGGGACCAGTGGAGAGCTCTTGTGAACACGGTAATGAACCTTCAGGTTCCATAAAATGCTGGGAAATTCTTGAGTAGCTGCAGAATTGGCAGCTCCTCCAGGGCTCAGCTCCATGAGTAAGCAAGTAAGTAAGTAATATTTATACTTAACAGAACAATGGTAAATAGTCTTGTTATCTGTTATTGATCAGTTTTTTTTGTATATATGTTTAATAGGAATTGTTCATTTCATTTTGAGACTGTGTATGTCGTTCATTCTGATACCTCTGCTTTTAGGGTGTGATCTTGAATTCTGGGCTCTTTTGATTCAGGATAATGAAGTTAAGTTGCTCTTGTCTTCTGATTCTAGTAAAATCTGTGAAGGATAAGACTGCCTATTTTGCTGAGAGACTCCATAATGCCATGGCTGGAATGGGAACACAGGACAGGACACTTATCAGAATCATTGTTACACGTTCAGAGATTGATTTGGGTGATATCAAAGAAGACTATGAGAAACTGTATGAAAAAAGCTTAGCAAATCGTATTGAGGTAATTTACAATTAGTTTAACATTATGCAGGATATAGAGGGATAAGTACTATATTATTATTGCTCAAGTTCAGTACATACAAAATTTATGCACTCCGCTCTTAGAATTGGTGATGTGATAGATGTTTAGATTGATCTGTGAGGTGACTGTGATGTTCTGCATCACCAGTGCACTTATTTGTTCTTGTGCTGTTTGCAGTTGATATAACATACGATGGGGTACCCAAAAGAAACCGAACTAATTTTTTTGTCGGCAGAGCTTTTGTAGTACCGCGTTTTGCCGCTATGAGCGCATAGAGCTAACTTTTCCTGAGTCGATAAGCCGACTACCGTTGCTTCAGAAGGTAAGGACTAGTTTCGGCAGAGTTTATAGTGACAACTGTTTTGTGTGATCGTCATTTTTGCAATGGCTGATTTTCGTGAACAGTGTGCTGCAGTGAAATTCTGCTTTTTGCTCGGGAAAAGTGGAACAGAAACTCTTGAAATGTTAAAAACGGCGTACAAGGACGATGCTATGGGGAAAACTCAAGTGTTTGAGTGGTTTTCCCGTTTCAAAAATGGTGAAATGTCAATTGATGACAAACCTCGTTCTGGTCGTCCTTCCACGGCCCGAACACATGAAAATGTTGAAAAAATTCGTGAAATCATCAAGGAAGATCGATGACGGGCCATTGAAGAAATTGTGGAGCTGTCGGGAGTGACTTGGAGCTCAGCGGCCAGATTTGTGGCAGTCGGGTGACTGGTTTTTCCATCATGACAATGCCCCTGCTCACACAGCCCTGTCTGTACGACAATTCTTGACCAAAAATGGTATGACCCCTGTTCCTCACCCTCCATACTCACCCGACCTTGCCCCGTGCGACTTTTTTTTGTTTCCTCGAATGAATAGAGACATGAAAGGAAAAAACGAGAGGCGCTGTCAAGCATCTCAAAAGATGAATTTAGACAGTGTTTTGAAAAATGGAATAAAAGACTAGATAAGTGTATTAGTGTAAGTGGAGAGTACTTTGAAGGGAATTGAAGGTTTGTGCTTAAAATTTGAATAAATAAGTTTAAAAAAAAATAAGTTCGGTTTCTTTTGGGTACCCCCTTGTATGTTGAAGATAACAGTTTCCTCTGAGCTGATAGGCACCATAGAGGTTTAGGGAAAAAATTTTAGGGTGAAGGAAAAGTACTGCAGTAACAGATAATGCAGAATGATCTTTCTCATACAGATATGCTCAGCTGGTTGCCCTGTAGGGTTCTAGTTTCGCAGGATCTGCAGAGACAGCACAGTTGAGAGGTACAGCATTAATAGGATAAAGATGTGAATGCTGGCTGAAGGTACAGGAGGGTGAAGCATTTGGGGATTGGCATGTTCTAAACTGTGTTCAACAATGTTATTGTTATTGAGGAATTAGAGACATGCACAACAAACCCATGGGCTACATAAGTGCAAATTCGTTTTTATATAAATTTAGACAAGTTTCTAAATCCGTGGCACTGATCTTCAAGACTAATAAAAATGCGCGCTTAATCCACAGTTATTCCATTTTTTATGCATATGATTAGGTACTGCATTTTATTAATATATGAGTTGTGATTAATTTACACTTATGAAACAGCTGTTTCCCTTATCCATAGCGATTCATTTATGAAACAGCTGTTTCCCTTATCCATAGCGATTCATTTACAAAATCATGATTTCTGTACTTTCATTAATGCATGCATTGGCAGGCTGTGGAAATGTCATCCCTACAAGTTTTGTTTCCTAATTTGCTTAAATGCTTTCAGACAAACACATTTTTCCTGTCCATTGCATTGTATAAAAAGATATGACTTGACAGTCAGAAAACAAAATGTGAAATGTGAGATCTGAAGGGCGACTAAGAAACAAGCGTATATCTAAATGGTAATCTGTTCATTCCATATACTGATGATTTCTTCAGTATGCACACCATGATCAAATGAACTGTAAAGTGTAGTCACATGCTGTATCAGTGTGCAATAAATCAAGTCAACATTAAAAACCCATCTATAGTGACTCCATACACATGCTAGCTGGTGTTAGAAGTGAGATTAGATTGAAGACTGCAGTGGTTGGTTGTGTTGTAAGCATACAAAAATGGAATACATGATGGAATGTCTGCTAGCCATGCAGCCAAAATGGATGCCCACTGGGAAAGGATGGAAGTCAATATGAATGCCTGGTGAAATTTGATGAGGGCTTGCTGAGGAGTGACAGAGACTGACCAGCAACCAGTGGAAGCCAAAATTAAGACAGGCCTGGCAGAAGTGGAGGCTACAGATTTAGAAGCAAATCCTGAAGGAAAAGAGCCCCTAGCGAAGAAGCCACAGTGGAAACTATCGGTGCTCTGAAGGAATGGTCTGGGGATCAGCATCTGGTCACCAGTAGCTGAGGAAATGGACCCATGGTGATGGTGGGTCCCAGAAGAAGTTGGCTACTGCCCATGGATGGATGATCTGCTGGTCTGTTCTTTCATGAGGTAAGGGACACAATCATAAAGGACCAACAGTCAAGAGGAGACGACGGAAGAGACCAAAATGCAATAACGGCATCAGGAACCGAGGCCTAAAGGAACAGTTACATCTAGGAAGCAAGAGGGCATTCAACAAAACCATTAGGCAGACTCTCAGGATGGAGGTCGCAAAATGAGTAGTCTAGTTTTCCACTGGGCTGCTGAAAATGAGTAACTGGACATTGTGGAGGACACATCCCCCACCAAAACAAAATGGGATGTCAGAGGTACAGCCCTCCGAATTCAAGAAATGTTGGGATAGGGACTAGCTCTGTCGATTGGGCCCAGTTCAGTAGATTTTACTTGAAGACAGAGACAGAATCCAGTCTTCAAAACGTGTTTTAATTAAAAACAGGACAATGGATAATATCCAGAAACATATTTTTTGTAAATATAGTACATGAAATTGTCCCATTCATTTTATTGCATCCAAATATACGAGGGTTGGAACTTTAATAGTGGCAACTATTTATTTACAACTGATACAAAATAGATGCATTTTTCGAAGTTTTACTGTCCTTCAGTGTAGTCACCACCATTGTGTACAACCCGTTGCCAGCGATTGGAAGTCATAGGATACCTTTAGCAGTGCCTGTTGTGTTGGTAGTTTGAAGGGAGCGGTCTGCTGCCTGAAGAATCTCTGGAACAGTTCTGAAGTGAATGCCATGAAGTGGTTCCTTCATCTTCGGAATCAAGTTGAAGTCACAAGGGCATAAGTCTGGGGAGTATGGTGGATGGTACAGCACTTCCCAGCCCCGTTGATCGAACAAATCAGCCACAGCTTGCCATTTTTGCATTTCCATCAAATCATGCGGAACCCATAGTGATGCAATTTTTCTCATGCCCAGGCTTTCCTTCAGAATGTGAAGCACAGTCATATGCGTTAATCCTGTCTTGGGCCAGCTCACAAATCGTATGGCATCGATCACCCTCCAGTAATGCGGAAAGAGCATACACTTCTTCACTGACACTAGGATGACCTGACTGACGCATATCTGCCACATTCTGGCATCCCTCGTTGAAGGCTTTTACCCACCTTGCCACTGTTCTGTAAGGCAATGTGGATTCCCCGCAAGCCTCTTGAGGACCTTGATGACACTGTTGTGCTGCATGGCCTCTGGCACATTCAATCTTTATCCAACTCCGTTGTTCCTGCTTCAAAAATATCGTGACAACACTACATTAGACTGCCAGCTAACACAAGGCTCTGTTCTTGTCACTGCGCATGCGCATGATGTGGGAAGGGAGGTATGTAACTAACGTGTGGTATAAGTGACATTATTTGGTTCCGTTGCATGGTGTCTCTACAGCAGTGTTGCCACTATTAAAGTTCCAAGCCTCATATATTTTAAATTCTTTTCTCTCATAATGCCCAAAAAACCTTACTCTCCAATATGGTGTGCATTTATGATGCTGTATGTTCTGCACAAGACATTCTGGGGTTTGTTTATGTAGATCACTCCTTTTGCTGCTGCCTGCAACCCAAAAATATCTAATTTTTCTATCAGAATATCATTTAATTGATTTTGTTTTGTTTTAGGAGGATTGTTCTGGTGACTTCAAGAGATTGTTGCTGGCTTTGTTGGGTTAAACTGAAATGCTGAAATGTTGCAGTTGGGAAGATTAGAAATAGCAATTACAGAGTAAATTGTACACATGTTTATGTATCTATAGTCACAGATAGGATATAGATCTGATGTCGGGTACTATGTGTAGTATGATGTTAAAGGACTTTAATGTAAAACATGTGCTGCTGTTTTTAAATAGGAGCAGAATTTATAGAGCTGACTGCCTTATCATCAGGTGCTTGTAGTAATAGGTCTTTTGGCTTTTTTATACTTCAGCACATTGAACACCATTCTATATTGATGCTTTTATCTCCTGCTGCCAACAATATGCACCGAAAGTAAGGAATTCTAATGGTGAAAGACAAAAGTATTGATTTGAGAAAAAGGTTGGAAACTGGTTAGAAATTCCTAATTTTTATGTGCCCATCCAGGATCCAGGATTCTGGAACTGAAAAAACTGCTAGCTAGTATTTGTAGACAAATTCACATTGGGGCCCCCAGATGTAGTATGCAGTAGAAGACCATTATAATAAGAATTGTTAACAAAAAATTAATTACTGATAGATTCGATCCTGGATATATGTGATTTCCCCCAAAATCAAACAAATAGCTGTGAATTCCTCATTGTAACCACTAGAAGAAGTGGAAGTTTTTAAGGGAGTTAGTAAGTTAATTCTTTTATACTGCAAGTACATGTATATTATTTTGTGAGATTTCAGCTCAGTACAGGGAGGAAGAGTCAGGTCAATTTAATAACATTGATTCTTACTTCAGATACCCATGAAGGCATTAGTGGGAGTTGTCAACATTTTTGGTATTAAATTATAATTTAATATAATTATTATGATATAATGATAATTATCAGTGGCACTCTGTAGTTTGGTGGCAATTTACATTTCTCTTAAGGACTCAACATCAGCACTCCTGCATTGTTTTTTTCCTTCATTGGAGTGAAATTTCATGAACATCATTGTTATAACAATAATATACGAAGTTACTTTGGATATAAGATTTTTGAATGTGGGTTTTAGAAAGAAATTGGAAAGGCACACATTCCTCATATATAAAACACGCATCAGTTTTTCAGTGGGAAAACTATGTAGCTTGTATTAGAATTAATATGGTATGAAGCTCCATAATAGTGTTAAAACACGGATATTGTATAAACACAGCTCAGTGTTGCAGCCAAGTTTGCATGTGCCAGTAGTGGCTTAGGGATGGGCACAATAGAATGAAAACTATTGTATAATTGAAATGTCTGTAAAATAATTACATCAGTACTGAAAATCTGAATGAGAACTGTCAAATGGCTTGTTTGATAGTTATGTCCTGATATTGAAGAAATATTTGACATTACAAATTAAAATTGACTGCATAAAAATACTTGTAAAAACAAACTTCTCGTTGTAGGCCTTACTTGTTACATCAGACTTTGACTGTATATTGGGACTTGGAACAGTGGTTTTCAGTGTGAATGATCAGAATACAACTAGTTTGCATAATATAAGCCACAAATTATAATTATGGTGCAGTATGTAAAATTATTATAGAATTAACTCAGCCTTATGATATTATTGTTACATAATGAATCTCTCCTTTTGAAGAGGTTAAGCTGTTACTTGTTGTAAAGAGTATGGTTTTTGTATTAGACTTTAAAAATATTTTTGATATAGGTTATTTTTATTTCATATTCATAAATGAAAATGTGAAGCAAGAGTCATTTGTATTTGTCCTTCATATCCTTTGCTTTGTTGGGTAATTGCTACTGCAGTGTGAAACCAAGCTGTAATGGAATTTCGTTTTTCCACTTAATGAATTTCCTCTTGCATTGTTCTTCCATCACATGCTGCATGTTAAAAATTGTTTCATTCACAAGCATAATTCTGCAACCAGTGATGACTTAATATTTGTGATTTTTCTCTCTAATTCACTGAAAATTCTGAAACAGTATCTTTTTGCAAACCAGTGCACTTGGATTATGAAACTGAAAATGATACAAAGTTTATTAATTGTAACCAGCTTTTGATATATATATATATATGTTTGTGTATTTTTTTTAATGTATCCTTCCTCATGGTAAGCAGTAAGCAAGAATAACACACTTTAAAAGAAAGTAACACCAGTTTTGAAAATGAAATTTCAACATTCACTATACATGTGAGAACCTCATTGTAAAGCAGCTTGTGAGTCTATATTTTGGAGAGATATGGCCCCAGGTTATGTTGAATAAACTCTCTTTGCTGTGGAAATGAGTATCATCATCTGTGATATGCCATCATCAGAAGGTTTCTAGATTGCGTGTTCACCATAGTTCAGTATTTAGCTGCCAGCAAGGAATTCAGACACATTTCCACAGGAGTTTTTTTTTTTAAGGGGGGGCATTTGCACAAGGTATAATATGCCCTGATTTGTCGGGTGGATGGACTTACAGTAGGATCTGTTACACCTTTATCAAAATATTAAAGCGTACTTTGAAGCGTTAAAAAATAATAAATACTCAGTTGTTTGCAAAGTTTGAAATAATGTGAATCGCAAAAAAAATCAGCATTGCATTTGTTGCTATGAGAAAAACTTTTCTTGGATTATGCAAGATATTCAGGAATGCATCCTTCACATAAAATGTGACTGCACTGTGCTTCATGCATCAGACTGCCTTTACAGAATTGTTAATACAGTTATTGCATTTCTGGATATCTCCATCGTGTTTTTTTATTTAAAATACATCTCCCAAAAATTCATTTTCTAAATAAAAAACAGGACGAAGGATAATGTCCAGAAATATAGTGATTATATTAATATACCATTGTCACAAACTTTTAAGAAATATATATAAAGTTAATATTATCTCTGTTGTGATGTTTGAAGCCTATAGTTACTATAGGATTCTGACGATGGAGTATAACACACTGATATGTTGGGTTTTTGGACTTTATCCATCGTCCTGGTTTTTAAGATAACAAATAAAAACACGACGCTTCGGAAACTGGATCTGTTTCTGTCCTCAGATGAAGGAAAACACCTATTCAGTTGGGTCCCTTAGAAAGAGCTAGCCTCAATCACTGGATTGTGATTNACCATTGTCACAAACTTTTAAGAAATATATATAAAGTTAATATTATCTCTGTTGTGATGTTTGAAGCATTTTATGAAAATTTCAGGGTCCAAGTCCAAGTCACATTGCAACTGACAGTCCATCAGTCTGTCTGTCTTGGTGTCGAGCCCCAGATTTATTTTTTCTTTTTTCTTATATGAAAGTTACTGTCCTGTTCATTTGGGGCGCCCTCTCTGACGAGAGGTCAGGTCTGTCATTTGTCAGTCATAGTCTGTGTTAGTAAGTCCATTTTCAGTATTTACATATATTTACAAATTTAATCTTAATTCCTGTTTCTGTGTACAATATATACAAGGCCTCGTGTCAATCCAGGCTCAGTACAGCAGATTTAGCCCTATTTCTACCAGTATTTGCTACAATGGCAGTCTAGTCACTTGAACAGTAGTATGCCTGACTGCCCCCAAGTTTAAGCCTCTTATACTTTCACTGACTTAATCCAAGTCCAAGTCGCATTGTGACTGACGGTCATTCAGTCAGTAAGTCTTGATGTCGAGCCCCGTCTCGGGCTCATGACCAGATATTTATTACTTTTGAACATTATGGTTTTGTTTTTTGTGGGGCGTCCACTCTGACGAGAGAACGGGTCTTTGACTTAATCCAAGTCCAAGTCGGAAGTCACATTGCGACTGACAGTCAGTCAGTCAGTAAGTCTTGGTGTTGAGCCCCAAATGATATTAATGATTACCGTTTGACTGTTACGATCTTGTTTCTTTATTTTACTTTTTACATAATGTTTTATATATATATAATGTTTTTATATATCACAGTAAAATTGTATTATGTGTTAATGAGGAACATTTTACATGAAGAACTCACATGATCAATATTTATAGTATTTCATGACCACTTCAAATACTGAGGTCACAGGAGATATTTTGTTTCAACTGGTATTCAGTCATGTGGTCCATTGGGCATTGAATATTCAAAACGGACAGTGATGGGACAGCATGTGGCAGTTGAATTGGCATTAGGACTTAGAAAGGTGAACTGGAGGAGGTGGGAGAAAGACTTGACTGCAAAATGAGGAGGAGAGATTTATCAAGACCTTTTGTAGGAAATATATATATATATATTCAATAACGGGGGCTTTCCTGAGCCGTTCTCAAATGAGTCTTGATGTTTGTCACCTGTCATTGGTATTAATGGCTCTAAAGCAGCATTAATACTCAGTGTGCACTCATTTCATTAATTTTAACCATATTCCTGTGAAATGTATCCATTTATGCTTCAGGCAGTTAATGTTTATTAATTTCTCTGCATAAGGTTTTTGGTTTGTTGTCAGATATTTGGATTTTACTGTAACATTGTCATATTGTTTAGAAATGCAGCTTACAAGCAAGGGACTGATTAATTTTGTTAGTTAGTTTCTGGTTTTGTCTGTTTTTTTGTCACAGACATTGAACAGAATTCATGACTCCCCCAACACTCCACAATGTCCTCATTGTCTTCCAACATTTCCTACATATAAATTTCAAATTATGACAGGTTTGAAATAGCGTTTTTAATTTTAATCCATCCCCCCTCCCCCCCAGCTTTCAAATATAAAGCAAGAATGCAAGGCTGTTGTGTGTGGTTGTGGTATGAGGTGGACGTTGGGATTTTTATAATTGTGTTGGAGCTGTTAATACCAAGCATATGTGCATGCACAAACCAGCCAACTCTAGCTCCATATACAGCAATTACAAACATGTTCACCTTAAATAAAGCAGTCTTTTGGGATTTGGCACCGTGTACACCACATATACACGGTGCCAAATCCCAGAAGACTGCTTTCTTCATAGTCACTGCCATGAAAGCCTCAAATCTTACATGTTCACCAACGTTCTAATGGTGATAGTGAATGCCAATTTTGAATTCATTCATAGTGGTAGGCAGGGACCAGTGAATATAAATGTGATGTTGGAGTTCCATGTCACATAAATTTCTGGAACATTTTTGAACAATGCTTTAAACATTCCACCACTACTTATCCTGCTGAACATGGAAGAAGAGTATCAACATGCTTTTGTGTGTAATGAATCGTACTCTTTGCACACCTTTGGGATGAAGCCCTACAACAAACAGGGTATGACTAAGATACATTAAATGCATAACTACAGTCTGCCCTAGGCCAAACATATAGTGGAAAATTCATTTGATGTGCTTGCCACAAGAGTTTGAGTACTGCAGGGACCAACCTTGAACTAGGAAAGTAAGCAGAATTACATTGGTTTCTTGTAATTTAAACAATTTCTGATGAATACCTGTAAGTCATACTGCAGAAACATAAACTGACGAACTTGTTGAAAGAATTGAGAGTACTCACAATTTGGTCATGTACAGGGTTGGTTTTGTACATGTTTCAGTACTGGGGAGTTCATATCAAAGAAATTGTTTGCATTGATAGTCTACAGCTAGTATGAGTAGCAAAAGTCATTCAGAACAGTTGAAAACAATTTTGTAATACTAGGATCACTGGGTTTTGGATGTTCATCATCTGGTATTCTAAAAAAACACAAAAGAGCAGGTATCGGAAATTGGATATGTTTCCATCCTTGGGTGAGGGGTGGGAGACACCAGTTTTTGTAAGCCTATAAAATTATGTATAAACAAAAGTGTTTACTTGCTGAGCTTTTTTTGTGTAATTGATGACATTGCCTCAGGTTCTCTGGACTTGAAGAAAATTCAGTTCTTCAAGTATGCAAGAACGTGACTCAAGTATTGTTTGTACCAGCACCAGAATGCGTATACTATCTGATTTTTTTTAACCATTTTGTAGTTTGATCTAAGATTTTCCTCTTTTATGCCACCATCTAATGGACCCATTTTCAATTTAGTTTATATCAGGAGCTATATATATGATTTTTTTATACACTAGAGCCTTCTGTGTGTGTTAGTTCACTATGAATAAATATGTTTCTGGTTTCTCTAACAAAATGTCAGGACTTCAGAAATTAGATAAATAGGAATTTCACATGTAGCACAGGTACTGAAGCTGTCCCCTGAAATCTGCATTATATCAAGGGTCTGTTGTACTTCACACTGTTAACATTTCTGATATTATCTCTTCAATATTGAAACTCTTTTTGAGATTTTTTATCATTCCATCAGTGTACTGGTAGTACTCACAGTAATACTGATCATATGAGGACTGCTGCAGACTTCATGAACAGAAGTTTGTATCATGTAGTGTAGGTTATGGATTGCCAGCATATGTATGGATTCATACTTTTAATCCAAAGGCATGTTTTGATTGAAGTAATGTATTTAATTCTTCATGTTCGTGTAAGGTGCATGGTAGTTGGTATTAACTATTTGACTGGCGCGGGCGTGTTTTAACACCCGGACGATGCCAGCCGTTCCCTGGCGTTGGTGTGTTTTAACGCTTTGACAATCTCTTCCCTCCTTTGCTCTCTTGGCACTCATCAACCAAAGACATATATATGATAGTTTTTGTGCATGTTTGTAAAGAACCCTTGTAAACTTTGTGGGGGTCTATATTACTGTCAGAACCCTCTGAGGAGGAAAAGGTCAGAAAATATTTCACATTCATTCAGTTTAACCATGGCTTCTTGCAGCAAGTGTCTTTGTGTTCCTACAGACCAGCTGGAAAATGTTGTGAACGAGATTTGTTCTGATGATGATAGTGGCGATGAAATAATGATTCCTGAATTGGATGAAGTTGATAGTGACAATAATACAGTGATAGACAATGATCCACAAGACAGTAATCATGAACATTTACCTACCACGAGTGCGGTGCCTGACACGCCCATCTCATGAACGTACGGAGACATTGTACCCCCAATATTTCCATTTGCTAATAGTTTCGGGATCAAAATTGATATAACACATAAAATGCATCCCTTTTCATGGATTAAAATTTTTTCTGGATGACGACTTGGTAAATCACATCACAACTGAAACCAATCGCTATGCTCACCAGCACTTCAACACACATGAGTTAGCTCCTCACTCTCGAAAACACAATTACAATTATGTCACATCAGATGAAATCTGGACATACTTAGGAATTGTGTTCATGACAGGAATCGACAAACGCCCTGAAATTGAAGAATATTTGTCCACTAGGCCCATATTTCACACCCATGGTTTGGACAAAACATGTCTTTGCGGTTGAATAGTTTCATTCTATTC